GGTCTTGTAGCCCATTCCAGCCTTGTGTAGGTCTACAATATTGTCCCTGACATCCTTGGAGAGATCTTTGGTCTTGGCCATGGTGGAGAGTTTGGAATCTGATTGATTGATTGCTTCTGAGGACAGGTGTCTTTTATACAGGTAACAAACTGAGATTAGGAGCACTCCCTTTAAGACTGTGCTCCTAATCTCAGCACGTTACCTGTATAAAAGACACCTGGGAGCCAGAAATCTTTCTGATTGAGAGGGGGTCAAATACTTATTTCCCTCATTAAAATGCAAATCAATTTATAACATTTTTGACATGCGTTTTTCTGGATTTTTCTGTTGTTATTCTGTCTCTCACTGTTCAAATAAACCTACCATTAAAATTATAGACTGATCATTTCTTTGTCAGTGGGCAAATGTACAAAATCAGCAGGGGATCAAACACTTTTTTCCCCTCACTGTGTGTATATATATATATATATAATACCAGTCAAAAGTTTGGACACACCTACTAATTCAAGGGTTTATCTTTATTTTTTACTATTTTCTACATTGTAGAATAATAGTGAAGACTTCAACACTATGAAATAACACATATGGAATCATGTAGTAACCAAAAAAGTGTAAAACAAATCAAAATATATTTTTTATTTGAGGTTCTTCAAAGTAGCCACCTTGATGACAGCTTTGCACACTCTTGGCATTCTCTCAACCAGCTTCACCTGAAATGCTTTTCCAACAGTCTTGAAGGAGTTCCCACATATGCTGAGCACTTGTTGGCTGCTTTTCCTTCACTCTGCAGTCCAACTCATCCCAAAACATCTCAATTGGGTTGCGGTCGGGTGATTGTGGAGGCCAGGTCATCTGATACAGCACTCCATCACTCTCTTTCTTGGTAAAATAGCCCTTACACAGCCTGGAGGTGTGTTGGGTCACTGTCCTGTTGAAAAACAAATGATAGTCCCACTAAACCTAAACCAGATGGGATGGCATATCGCTGCAGAATGCTGTGGTAGCCATGCTGGTTAAGTGTGCCTTGAATTCTAAATAAATCACTGACAGTGTCATCAGCAAAGCACCCCCACACCATCACACCTCCTCCGCCATGCTTCACGGTGGGAACCACACATGTGGAGATCATCCATTCACCTATTATGCATTTCACAGAGACACGGCAGTTGGAACCAAAATCAAATATGGAATGATCAGACCAATTCCATATGTGTTATTTCATAGTTTTGATGTCTTCACTATTATTCTACAATGTAAAAAATTGTAAAAATAAAGAAAAACCCTTGAATGAGTAGGTGTGTCCAAACATTTGACTGGTAGTGTGTTTGTGTGTGTGTGTGTGTATATATATATATATATATATATATATATATATATATATATATATATATATATATATATATATATATATACATACACACACATACACACACACTGAGTGTACAAAACATTAGGAACACCTGCTCTTTTTATGACATAGTGATCATACGAATCAAATCAAATTGTATTTGTCACATGCGCAGAATGCTTACTTACAAGCCCTTAACCAACAAGCAGTTTTAAGAAAGACTACCAAAATAAATCACACAAAAAATACAATATAAAATAATACAAAATAAAAGTAACAAATAATTAAAGAGAAGCAGGTTATATACAGGGGGTACCGATACCGAGTCAATGTGCGGGGGCACCGGTTAGTCGAGGTAATATGTACATGTAGGTAGAGTTATTAAAGTGACTATGCATAATAAACAGAGAGTAGCAGCAGCGTAAAATAGGGGTGGGGGGGGGGGGGGGTGGGCAATGCAAATAGTCTGGGTAGCCATTTGATTAGATGTTCAGGAGTCTTATGGATTGGGGGTAGAAGCTGTTTAGAAGCCTCTTGGACCTAGACTTGGTGCTCCGGTATTGCCTGCCGTGCGGTAGCAGAGAGAACAGTCTATGACTAGGGTGGCTGGAGTCTTTTTGACCATTTTTAGGGCCTTCCTCTGACACCGCCTGGTATAGAGGTCCTGGATGGCAGGAAGCTTGGCCCCAGTGATGTACTGGGCCGTACGCACCACCCCTCTGTAGTGCCTTGCGGTCGGAGGCAGAGCAGTTGCCATACCAGGCAGTGATGCAACCAGTCAGGATGCTCTCGATGGTGCAGCTGTAGAACCTTTTGAGGATCTGAGGACCCATGCCAAATCTTTTCAGTCTCCACATGGGGAACAGGTTTTGTCGTGCCATCTTCACGACTGCTTGGTGTGCTTGGACCATGTTAGTTTGTTGGTGATGTGGACACCAAGGAACTTGAAGCTCTCAACCTACTCCACTACAGCCCTGTCGATGAGAATGGGGGCATGCTCGGTCCTCTGCTTTTTCCTGTAGTCCACAATCATCTCCTTTGTCTTGATCACGTTGAGGGAGAGGTTGTTGTCCTTGGACCACACGGCCAGGTCTCTGACCTCCTCCCTATAGGCTGTCTCGTCGTTGTCGGTGATCAGGCCTACCACTATTGTGTCTTAATAATGGTGTTGGAGTCGTGCCTGGCCATGCAGTCATGAGTGAACAGGGTGTACAAGAGGGGACTGAGCACGCACCCCTGGTGGGGCGCCCGTGTTGATGATCAGTGTGGCGGATGTGTTGTTACCTACCCTTACCACCTGGGGGCGGCCCGTCAGGAAGTCCAGGATCCAGTTGCAGAGGGAGGTGTTTAGTCCTAGGGTCCTTAGCTTAGTGATGAGCATTGAGGGCACTATAGTGTTGAACGCTGAGCTGTAGTCAATGAATAGCAATCTTACATAGGTGTTCCTTTTGTCCAGGTGTGAAAGGGCAGTGTGGAGCTTAATAGAGATTGCATCATCTGTGGATCTGTTGGGGCGATATGGAAATTATAGTGGGTCTAGGGTTTCTGGGATAATGGTGTTGATGTGAGCCATGACCAGCCGTTCAAAGCACTTCATGGCTACAGACGTGAGTGCTACGGGTCTGTAGTCATTTAGGCAGGTTACCTTAGTGTTCTTGGGCACAAGGACTATGGTGGTTTGCTTGAAACATGTTGGTATTACAGACAAAGACAGGGAGAGGTTGAAAATGTCAGTGAAGACACTTGCCAGTTGGTCAGCGCATGCTCGGAGTACACGTCCTGGTAATCCGTAGGGCCCTGCGGCCTTGTGAATGTTGACCTGTTTAAAGGTCTTACTCACATTGGCTACGGAGAGCGTGATCACACAGTCATCCGGAACAGCTGATGGTCTCATGCATGTTTCAGTGTAACTTGTCTCAAAGCGAGCATAGAAGTAATTTAGCTTGTCTGGTAGGCTCGTGTCACTGGGCAGCTCGCGGCTGTGCTTCCCTTTGTAGTCTGTAATAGTTTGCAAGCCCTGCCACATCCGACGAGCATCGGAGCCGGTGTAGTACGATTCGATCTTAGTCCTGTATTGACACTTTGCCTGTTTGATGGTTCGCCTGAGTGCATAGCGAGATTTCTTATAAGCTTCCGGGTTAGAGTCCCGCTCCTTGAAAGCGGCAGCTCTACCCTTTAGCTCAGTGCGGATGTTGCCTGTAATCCATGGCTTCTGGTTGGGGTATGTACGTACAGTCACTGTGGGGACGACGTCATCGTTGCACTTATTGATGAAGCCAGTGACTGACGTGGTGTAGTCCTCAATGCCATCGGAAGAATCCCAGAACATATTCCAGTCTATGCAGCAAAACAGTCCTGTAGCTTAGCATCTGCTTCATCTGACCACTTTTTTATTGACCGAGTCACTGTTGCTTCCTGCTTTAGTTTTTGCTTGTAAGCAGGAATCAGGAGGATAGAATTATGGTCAGATTTTCCAAATGGAGGGTGAGGGAGAGCTTTGTACACGTCTCTGTGTGTGGAGTAAAGGTGGTCTAGAGTTTTTTTCCCTCTGGTTGCACATTTAACATGCTGGTAGAAATGAGGTAAAACCGATGTAAGTTTCCCTGCATTAAAGTCCCCGGCCACTAGGAGCGCTGCCTCTGGATGAGCGTTTTCCTGTTTGCTTATGGCCGTATACAGTTCATTGAGTGCGGTCTTAGTGCCAGCATCGGTTCCTGGTGAAAGCTATGATCCCTTATTGATGTCACCTGTTAAATCCACTTCAATCAGTGTAGATGAAGGGGAGGAGACAGGTTAAAGAAGGATTTTTAAGCCTTGAGACAATTGAGACATGGATTGTGTATGTGTGCCATTCAGAAGGTGAATGGGCAAGACAAAATATTTAAGTGCCTTTGAGCGGGGTATGGTAGTAGGTGCCAGGCGCACCGGTTTGAGTGTGTCAAGAACTGCAACGCTGCTAGGTTTTTCACACCCAATATTTTCCCATGTGTGTCAAGATTGGTCCCCCACCTAAAGGACATCCAGCCAACATGACACAACTGTGGGAAGCATTGGAGTCAACATGGGCCAGCATCCCTGTGGAACGCTTTCGACACCTTGTAGAGTCCATGCCCCAACGAATTGGGGTTGTTCTGAGGGCAAAAGGGGACGCAACTCAATATTAGGAAGGTGTTCATAATGTTTTGTACACTCAGTGTATGAGTAAGTGTGTGTACAATTCTCTTTTGATTGCTTGAATGCAATTATTGTTGCTGGATAGACCCACCCTGTTGAACTAATACTTTATATTTTAAAAGATAAACTGCATTACCTCTTCAGGTCTCTCTGAGGCTTTCCGTCTGCAGGAAAAGCAAATTCAGGCGTTAAGATAATGAAAAAGACAACTCCAGTCATGTTGCAAATCAGAAGTGTTAGTTCACAGGCTAGCAGCCTATTTACTTACAATCACATCAAGGAAAACCTTTTTTGTGACAATCTTCAATAAAATAAAATAAATATCTATGAACTCCAGAATGTTAATGATACAAATTTGAGAATACAATGTACATTGATGATCTTGTGATGTGCTATAGTTAGGATAGGGATTTTCAATTACATTTATTTCAATTCGATTAAATTAGTTAAATCTTTTTTTCACACAGTTGTTTTCCTCTCACCTGCGCGCTAGAAGGGCGTTCATTTCCTGCATCAGCCCCTCCCCTCCACCACCACTACCTCCACTCGAGCGGTTGACATCGTTCTTGGCTCCACCTGTTCCTGGTGGACTGTTCTCATCCTGAGGACACACAACATTGTCCACCATATGAGTTCCATCTTATAGAAGCCAACCAACAGATAATGTGTATATGGTTTGAATGTCCAAGCAATTTTCACATAGATATGAATGGTCTTGTTCAGTGGGGCACACCGTAGCAAAACATTTCCAAATGTATTGCAAAGAAAGAAAAATATTAAGTTTCTTATTGGACATGTTTAGGTAGTACCTCCTTGTTTCAAAAAGTTTTCTTCCTACTGACCATGATACAAGTCTGAGCTGAGATACTAACCCTTGCAACTTTACGGAGTTTGGCTCCAGCGAGGGCGGCCGCCAGTCCTGAGAGTGGCTGCGCCAGCTCATTCCCTGCCCCCCCTACCGGTGGCCCCCCAGGCTCTCCACCAACCGGCAGTGGAGGGGGCATGGGCGGTGGCACCGTGGCAGGAGGCGGGGGGCCCGGTGGAGGGGGGGGGGCCATGGGTGCCATAGGGGCAGGGGGGGCCATAGGCATAGGTGGGGCCACCGGTGGGGCCACAGCCAGCATGGCGGGAAGAGAAACCGGACCTGGGAGAGAAACAGAATAGGTTCACATCAGGTGACATCAGATTCCTCATTGGCTAACACTGCTGGCGAGTACTGATTGGAACTGATTAGATGAACAGTCTTAGATAAGAGGAATTTAAAGTTAATCAAAAATGCAAAAGTACAGTAACAGATGGCAGAATTTTCTATGGGGACTGTTATTGTATTCATAATAGGTATATACTTCCATCCACATAAGCCAGATGCATGTTGTGTGAGGTGTGTGGAGTGGAGTGGACATACATACAGGACACACACAGGACACACACCTGTTGTCCAAGTGCCTTGCTCATTGAGCTCTGCTTGTACTTACTGCAGCTGGCCGTGGCAGCCTGAGCGACAGGAGAGGGCGTCTGCTTGGGCGAGCCCCCCTCTGATGGGGCTGTGGTGTATGAGGGGGGAGAGAATTGGGGAGCTGGTGGTGGTGGGGGCGCGGCCTGGTACATCTGCTGCTGGGGGTGAAAGGAGGAGGGGTACTGGGGCTGGTGGGCGGAGACAGGGACGGGGCCCTGCGCAGACTGACCAATCAGAGGGGGCAAGGAAGTAGCCTCGCCATAACCTAGCTGCTGCTGTTGCTGCTGAGCAAGGTTATAATAGTCCTCTGATTGGCCGTTGGCGTGGGGGAGATGGGGCGGGATGTGGGGTTGGCCGGGCTGGTCCAGGGGGTGGGTCTTAACGCGGCTGTGGAGAGGCGGCAGAGGGTGGGCCACGGGGACGACATGCTGGGGCTGAGGCACAGGGGGCATGTGCACAGGCATCATGCCCACCACGGGGGGCGTGGAGGGCACGGGGCTGTACATGTGGGCGTGGGAGGCTGACCAGGTGCCGTGTTTGGGGGGCAGCACAGGGTCCTGCAGGGGGTGACCCTGGTGGAGGGACTGGGTGTGGTGGAGGGCCCGAGCAGTGGGGGGAGAGAGGGGGATCTGGCGCACCTGCCGGGTCGGGGCCATGGGCACCCCTGGCTGCACGGGTGAGAAGGCCGAGGCCAGGGAGGTGGAGAGCTGGGAGAGCTGGGCGGAGTTGTCGCCCGCCCGTCCGCCCAGCACCTCTCTCTCCTGGGAGGAGGAGGAGGAGGAGGAGGAAGGGGAGGAGTTGGAGGCCACTCGACCGTAGGAAGGCGGCAGTGTGGCGGCCCGGTAGTGTCTATACTCAGGAGGGGTGTTTGAGGGGTGAGAGGGAGGGGAGGACACCTTATATTGGAGGGTGGAAACGACTACAACACACAGACGGAGGAGGGTGGGGTAGAAAACAAAGGATAAAAAAAAGAGAGAATAATGAGAAACCAAGCAAAGATGATGAAATATAAAAATAAACTGAAAAGAAAAAGAAGCAGAATGCAAACTCTCAGGAAAGCAGCAAGTCGCATTGTCACGCAGCTGCCGACAACACGCTGGCACAATGAGTGTAGCTCCTGTTTGTGCATGGATAAGCATGAGTAAATAAAAAGAGGAGGGAGGGTTCAACACAAACACAGATGTGTCCGAGGTAGCTCTCTATCCATGGTCGTATTCATTAGGGTAAACTGTAGCACAACGTTTTGCAACGGAAAACGATAATGAGAGTATCTTATTGGACATATTCAGGTAGTCCCTCCCTGTTTCTGTCTGTTTTCTCATCATTGGTGCCTAATGAATACGACCCATATGTGCTGCTACACTGGGCTGTGTTTGGTTACCATGATTGCCATGCTATTCCTATGGAGAGAATAGCATCCTAAGATGTTATCTGACATGGGCGAAACGTATTGTGGCTTGTGTGTTGTGTGTTGACAGACCCGGCCTTGTCTAACATGGTAGTGTTTGTCCACAGTAAGTATGTTTGTCGGCAGGCCTTACCTGAGCCAGACGTCCGTCGTTCCCTCTCTTTGTGGGCCACTCCCTGCATCTGCATCTGATGCTGCTCCATCATTTGCCTGCAGATACACAGAGGACACAGACAAGTTTTAGCCGCTCCTTATTTCCAGCCAATCTGGGCCCACTAATACATTGTTGCTTGACAACCTGCACCTCTAAATTTCTACTGCTTGCTCACTGTCACCACTTATCGAAAATGGCTCTAAAATATGAACCCTGGTATGAATATGAACACTGCCATCATTGTTTTTCATTTAACTTCAAGCTGCTTGACTGTATGTGAGTTAGGGTTGAATGGCAGGAACCCGGATACCGAGATTTACCGACCAAAACTTTTCCCGGGATAAATAACTGCGAGCAACCGGTAAATTATAATAAATTATTTATATGAACAGCATGGCGTGAAATGTAAATGTGAAATGACATGCAATGTCTAAATCTGGCTTCTCTACGGCCTCTGCATGATGAATCAACTTTCAGGGTAGAGACAGACCATCTTCGTACGGAGCGCAGTTCACAATGCATGCAGACCTATCGTCTCATTATGGTAACTTTTTTTCTTGTGACAGGCATAGCCTACGCTACAGTAATATAAAGACCGAATGCGCGTCTAATTTACCCATCTCCCATCTGGCTATTCTTTTTTCATTGCAGCTGCTGAGTTTCAAAATAGCCTATCGTTGCACACGCGAGCGCTCTCTCGTAGTCTTTCTCTCTTTCCATCAACTCCATTCAAATTGCATCCAAAATAGATCATCCTGTTCCAGATTGATACACTATATATACACAAAAGTATGTAGACACCCCTTTTATACGACAGAAAAACATAAAAGCCCATAGGTAAATAAATATAACTAGCTCCGGTAGGCTATTTGACTGTGAGCTGTATTACTGTACTGTATGTATTATACTGTATTATATGAAATTACGCACATTGTTCAAACCATGATAAAGCAGAAGAGATCATGTGATTCTGGTGTAGCAAATGCGGCCTACAAAGTTACAAGTATAGGCTAGGGAATTTGATTTTAATTTTGAAATATAATAGGGCCTATTTGTATAATTAGTAGGCTGACTCAATATATACATTTCATAATATTTCCCCTAATGTTATTAGCCTACCTCCTCTTTCTCTCTCTATTGTTGCTTCATTCCTTCCTCGCTTTCAACAGTTAAATGAAATACGACATTTTGTTGTCCTTACCTTTATCATTCTAGTATAGGACTAGAATTAAGATGCAGAAGGCTTTCACTTCTCTTTACGACGATTGAATGGTTATGGGTCTGAATAAATAACTGCAATAGCCTACCGCTATTGCGAGTTCGCTATTCTTTCAAACTGCCAGTGAGTTCTATTGGCTGCTGTATTTAACATTCAGCAAACAAGAGCTTGCATCCCTCTTCGAATAGTCTATTGGTATAAGATTTTTTTTTTGCATAATGTCCAGCAAGCTATTCTAGTCTAGCTTTTCTTGCATAGGACTCCAAGAGTTAAGGAGCATTTTTTAAGGAGAGGCCAGCAGAGCACAGGTGCATGCATATTCCACAAGAGACAAGTATGTTAAAAGCTTATTATGCATAACCCACCCATTAGCTAAATATAAGACTACTACTGCATTGAATGTATTACCTGAAAGAGGTAGGCTAGGACATTTACATATAGGGCTATATACACTACATGACCAAAAGTATGTGGACACTTGCTCGTCGAACATCTCATTCCAAAATCATGGGCAATAATATGGAGTTGGTCCCCCCCTTTCCTCCACTCTTCTGGGAGGGCTTTCCACTAGATGTTGGAACATTGCTGCGGGGTACTTGCTTCCATTCAGCCACAAGTGTTAATGAGGTCGGGCACTGATGTTGGGCGATTAGGCCTGGCTCGCAGTCGGCGTTCCAATTCATCCCAGGGGTCAGGGCTCTGTGCAGGCCAGTCAAGTTCTTCCACACCGATTGCGACAAATCATTTCTGTATGGACCTCGCGTTGTACACGGGGGCATTGTCATGCTGAAACAGGAAAGGGTTTTCCCCAAACTGTTGCCACAAAGTTGGAATCACAGAATCATCTAGAATGTCATTGTATGATGTAGCATTAACATGTCCCATTACTGGAACTAAGGGGCCTAGCCCGAACCATGAAAAACAGCCCCTGACCATTATTCCTCCTCCACCAAACTTTACAGTTGGCACTATGCATTCGAGCAGGAAGCGTTCTTCTGGCATCCGCCAAAACCAGATTTGTCCGTCGGACTGCCAAATGTTTATATAGTGTATGTATTGGATAATGGGCTTTTTTTTTTTCATTTGGGCTTTTTTGGGCTTGTGCTCATTAAATTTTGTTAATGTAGGGCTCGGCTCATAAAATGTATTTAATATATGGCTCATCAGGCTCAGGTAGCATCAGGTTTGAATGTTCATGCTGATCAAAGCTCTTATCAAATCCAGACATATTTATATGCTTTTGAATGACACTTCCGGTTTTGGCGAAAAATACAGGGTTACCTGGGAGAAAAGTGATTTATTCTCGGGATGGAACATTTGTAAAATACAGGTAACCCATAATGTGAGTTTAGTACCACCTTCCACTACTAGAGTGGACTAAGAACACAACACGAGCCACTGGATATGTGGTAGGCCTGATGTGTTTTTGCACCTTCAAAACAAACTACCTTCAGACAAATGAAATGAGGAACACTTTCAGTGATGGATACTAGCACGTTTTCAAACCAGTTTCTTTATCAATGTCTTTGTTTTGTGAGTTCTACTGTGCACAACGCTTTATTTGTCATCACTATTTGGTGTTATTATGAAGGTCAGACGTTCTTACCTCCTCTGTGCATCGGGGTCTTCTGAGGAGGGCCCATTTTGCCGTTGGACAGCAGGGCCTGAGGTGGGGAACAGAAACAGGTTTTTAGCTTTTCGAAAAAGACAACCTGTATGAAAGGACATATATTCGTGTGTATCGTTGGTGTTTGTGAATCGTTTTTTCACATGCCACACCCTCCCCTGCAGTAATAGAGCTAGTCATATTTAGCATATTGAATGTAGGCCTGAGGTTACATACAGTATAACAATAACCAACAGATACATGATGATGTAAGGGTCTGGTTGGCCTCTAGCGATAGTCACCACAAATGTTATGTTTTATGCACCCCTCACCACACTGCTGTATTTCCTGTTACCTATTAAACATTGCTTTATTGGTTTATTTGGATCCCCATTAGCTTTTGCCGAAGCAGCAGCTATTCTTCCTGGGGTCCACACCAAAACATAAAACATGACAAGTAACTGATAGACAAGAACAGTCACACAAATTTAAAATACAACGATATACAAACAATACAACTGAAGAATAATGTGTCTGTAGATTGTGTGTGTTAGAGTGTGACTCCGGCAGCAGTGTCTATTTGCCTGTGGGTCTGTCCGAGCACATACTGTCCTGTATTTGTACAGTAGGCGCTGATATGGTGAGATGTGTCAATTTAGTTTAACAAGAAGTCGTGACGACCACACTATTGCTCACTTCCATCTATGGCGCGGCCTTCACTTTGGCAGCTACAATAGGCGTCAAATCAAAGCGTTCTAGTTGAATGTAGCAAACATAATGACAATACGACCTAACAGCCAAAATAACCTCCACAAATGCAGACAGGGCTTTGACAGACAGCCAGTTCATTGCATAAATTGCATGCTGGGTCAAATGGCATGTGTCATCTCACAAGCGAAGCGTGTCCCTCCCCCTGTCATCCCCTCTCGCTGCTACTGTGTGTCCTCACGCTCTCCTCTCCTCTAAATCCTCCTGAGAAAGACACTGGATTAGCCACGGCATGTCTTGGCTGTTGACTTTAGGAGATTAGCATTACCATGGTGTTCAATACATTAGCACTAGACATTATTAGTCTGTCTTGCTTGTTTACATTGGAAGTGGTGTCTTGTCTGTCATCTTATTTCGACATTAGTATTTTACAAACATATGCCTGGTTTGGAACCTGCCCAGGCATAAATAGTTGTCCTAATGGCGATACTGAGACTTTCTGAGACAGTCTTTATAAATACACGGAGTTAATGTCTGGAGTGGGGTGGATGTGGGGTAACCTAGTCCCAGATTTGTTTGTGCTGTCTTGTCAACTCCTATGTGGTAATTGGCATGACAATGACCATAGGAGTTGGCTATCCAGAACAAGCAGATCTGGGACCAGGCTATGCGGGGTGGGAATAGTCAGTTGTGAAACTGTTGAGAAACACACCTGAAGAGACAGACTGTGTTTTTCCCCATAGCATGATTGATGTAAACCACAGGCATTTCTACAGGAAACCTCAACAAAACAGGTCCAGCCGCACCATGGACCAGAATAGACCTGACATGCCCTCCCCTCCTTCCCATACACATCTGTGTACAACTCCTACAGTGTATTCTGCATTCAACACAACAAATGCATGAATCCCAACCTTCCTTAAATCGCCAATCCTGAACCAGATTCAAGGGCAAACACGATTGGATTGGATTGAATGTAATATTCTTAATTTTCATTGGAAAAACGTCTAACTTCACCAGTCTTTGTCGAAAAATATTCAACACCAGGATCAACAATGAAGGACATAGATGGACAATGGCCCGGTACAAAACAGTTAGAACTGCAGACAAAACTGTCATTATGACATCATGGTGAGGTATACTAGACATTTTTAGACATCTTTTTAGTGACCAGATAACAACAAAAATAGGACATCTTTACTTGAAGTCTTTATGACGTGCCTTGACGTCACTGGGGTACTTTACACCCACTGGGGTACGGCATAGTGTGAACTAAGAGGTTACTGAGTCATACCCTACTGCCCCAACTAACTGAGGATGAGACCCTATTCTGAGACATAGCTATTATAAAGGTCTATCTGGGAGACCACGTATTGCATATCAGGAATACCAAACAATAAACCTTAGACGCCCCTTTGCAACACTTGAGCGCCCTTGGGTGTCATTTCCGCTGGGTGTGTTCGGCATGAGGGACACATGGAGCATCTTTATATGGATACTGCTTACCCAGTGAGCACAAGACATTGAAAATACTTTTTTTCAACCAAAAATATGTATTTTCAACCTCAGTAACAGAGACGAGTCCTTACCATTTCCAACCATCTGTAGGTTTGGAATCTTGGTTTGTTTTCAGCATTCACTTGACATTACTGATGTATTCCAGTTGACATTATAATACATTAATATCATTCTTAATGAGCAACTAAGGCAAGGATGTTGGCTTCATTTGTGTTGATTGCTGTTTTGGAATAAGGTACTGTAACGCTTTCTAAAACTAGATTCATTTCCAATCCCAAACCGTCTTTCATGTTTCATCTCCCACAGTCATCGTCTCATGAAGGAGAAATATTTTAATATTCTATCATCATCAAACAGAGCCAATCATAGCCTTCACATTTCTGCCCCCTTTTTTCAGAAAATAGCGAATAAATATAAATCATGCCCTACTGTACACTGTTTCATCACTACACTGCCTATGAGGAGTTTAGTTGTGTGTGTCTCTGTCTGTGTGTGTGTCTCTGTCTGTGTGTGTGTGTCTCTGTCTGTGTGTGTGTGTCTCTGTCTGTGTGTGTGTGTCTCTGTCTGTGTGTGTGTGTCTGTCTCTGTGTGTGTGTCTCTGTCTGTGTGTGTGTGTCTGTCTGTGTGTGTGTCTCTGTCTGTGTGTGTGTGTCTCTGTCTGTGTGTGTGTGTCTCTGTCTGTGTGTGTGTGTGGCTGTGTGTGTCTCTGTCTGTGTGTGTGTCTCTGTCTCTGTTGCTTTTCTTTGTTCTCTCAGCCTGCAGCTCTCTGATAGGTGATGTCTTGGGATGTCTTGTTTACATTCTTCTTGACACTCCTCTGAACTCCCCTTGTTAGCAGCTGATAATTATCTGTAGGGCTTTGCACCTAATGTTAGCACACATCCAGCTAGAGCTTATGTCATAAAACATCAAAAATATTAATCATAATCGCCATTGAGGGCAGTAATCTAAGTTGGTGTCCATCTAAGATGGTGTCTGTGAGCCAGTTACTCCAACCTGATCTTTTCAGGGTTTTGTTTGGAATACATGAAACCAAGAACTTGAACTATATAGTGTATACTATTTGCGATCAAATGAAACCATTGAAAAGCTAATATGCTATTTGATGCCATCTTTTAGTAGACATACTTTTGTAGCCACTTATTTTCAGATCCAGACACAACAAAGTAACTAAACATACGATACAACGGTATTGAGCTGGTAAAGAGTTGCCTGATATTTCAAATAAAACAATGTGGACCACTATTGTCCATATCACTTGCCAACTGCAGCCTCACAGCCTAACGACTGCACAATTAAAGGCTTTTAGATTAGTGACACAATAGCCAACACCATTAACACAATCAAGGGTTATTCTGAACGCTATAAAACACATCTACAGATGTTAACAGAAGGTTGTTTATTTGCGAAATGAGCTTAGCTAGTGCCTAATGTTGCACAGAGAGGCCTGACATATGGGGTCCTGGCTGCTGCCATGGTGATGTGAGAGAAGTAGTGGCCCAGAGGAGTGCTAGGGCTTGATCAGGCCTGTGCACAGTAAGGACAGAAGCCCTCAAGGGACAAAACAAGGCCTGCTTTCTCTCTCACACTCTCTAACTCAGATGGGTTTACCTAATTGCCTAAATGTGAGTTTTTTAGTTAAATATGATGCTAAAAAACAATATTCCAAACCTCAGGAGCCACATCTAAGCACCCCGTGGTGCTGTAGCCCCAAAACATGATCAAATATAAATGGTACTTTGCCCCTTAGGGCCACCGTGGTGTTTAATATGGAAAACTTTCATTGGCAGTCAACAGAAATGCATACAGCTTAAGTTTTACATGATTAACAGTTTACACATCTGCATAGTGATTTCCAGAACATCACCTCCCTATTTTAGCCCTACAATGCCACCCAAAGAGGTGTTCCCAATGCCATCAGCCTCACATTGCCAGCAGCACCATCATGCAATAGATTCCGCCACTCCCTCTATCACCTACTCTACTTACTGAGGGTGATCTTCGCAGAAGTGCACCTTCTGATAGTGGCTGGTGACATCTCTGGAGTAAGAATCATCGTGAGACCCTCTCTGCTGTTCTTACAGTGTCTTTAGCAAGCTATTACTGTATGTAGGATATGTACTAACTATGGCTTCTAGTCAGGCAGCTGGCCAGACTACTGGAATAGCATTAGCCACGAGTCGGGTGATCCAACATGGGACCCCAGTAGCAGGTATAAAGCAGGAGAATGCCTGCGACTGCGTTCCCTGGACTGAAAAAGCACCTTGTGTTTGCGTGAGGAGCCCCATAGCTCAGCTCACCTCCAACGTTGCCCCTTCCGGTTACCTCATAGGTTCCCCAAAAAAGGAGAGTGCCATGTGAGATTTGGCGGTCTAAGACAGTTTGGCTCCATGGGTATTTTAGCCAGGCCGTGCACCAATAGGAAGGCTAGGGGACGGAATGGAGCCGTCACCGGACTCCCCCTCCCAACAGCGTATAAGTAGCAGCCTGTAACAGGAGAGGCCCATGTGCTATTTGTTAAGTATGGGTAGAGTCAGGCCAGGCTTCATATAAAGACTTCACTACATTTCTGTTGTCATAAACTAGACAGCACCATGCATCTCCTCTAACCACAGGTCTTTACATTGATGTGTGCAAGTGTCTTTCCTGGCGTGATAGTGTTAATAGTTGTAATGGTTAGTTTGGATAGTGTTGCATTAGGCATGCAGTATTGTCACAACTGTCTGCAATCGGCCCTTATACTTGATGCTTAAATGACCAATGACCAGGCCACTGAACATATCTAAGTCTGGCAGCCTGGGCCCTAGCCTGGGTTTAGTTCAGTAGGGAAAAACATTTAGAAACTAAGTGAAATGGGGATGTACTATTTGAACTTGTACAATAAGTCCTTTTAAATAATTTTCCATTGCATAACATTTTTAAAAGTTTTGCTACAATGTGCCCTACTGAACATGACATAGGTCACTGGGTTTATAGTCTAACAGGGTTCTATGGTTTGTTTTGTATTCCCAATTTCCCACACACACTGCTGAAAGATTTCACCCTGAGCCATTGAGATATACTAGTTATGGCTCTGTTTTCACTCTAGAGCTTGATGTCCAGCAGAGGGATGTAGAACTCAGTTGAGAGCAACCCAGCAACCAGACTGACTGGCACCTGCAGCCCTAATGTCATTGGCTGAACCAAGTGTAAATTGAACAGGTTGAGATCCTTTCTGAAAATAGATGATATCTATAATATAAGATATTATATCTTATAACAGCCTAAACATGTTCAACAAAATATTTAGTTCATCCAACAATCCTTGGATGATAGTGGAGTTAAACTGGCCACAAATGACTGGATAAAAATATGTGCATTTCGACTGACAATTAGCAGCTGGCGTGCCAAGTATAACTGACAATTAACATTCATCAGTGTCAGCTAGAGCCCAGCTAAACCCTTTGACTGTGCCATAAACAGACAGACACATTATTTCCACACGGGAAAGGGTCCCACCTCCGTCTTGCGAGCTGAGCACGTTGAGGGCGAACATCATGGCGGTGGAGAAGGTGGTGGCCTCCTCCTTGCTGGCGAAGTTGAGGCCGTACACCTGCCTGGCATCACGCCACTGGTGGAAGGTGGGCGTGGCCTGGTTATACTTCAGCCCCTTTACTATGGAGTAGTTGATCACCACCTGCGAGACAGTCAGCCAATCACTCATCAGTCATTCATTATTCGCCAATTACTATGGTCAGCTTAGATCAGTGTACAAGATGGAATTCCATCGATAGTGCCATAGAGATTACTGGTACATTTCAAAAACGTTGTCTGCATTTTCATTTTTATCACAGAGCTGAATATGAAAGAGATTGCATAAGAGATGGACTCTTCCTCTATTATTATCCTTAAGCCAGTGTGTGTGATGAAGATGAATAGGCTTGCAGTGTGACTTGTCTTCCCCCAGATCTACATCACATATGTAGGTCCATAGAAATGACTAGAACAGACAAATTCACCATGGCAATTGTGTGTGTATGTACCTGCTGGTCCTGTAGTTTGACCCCGACCACGCGGAAGGTGTTGTTGGCCGTGTTGTGGTAGATGTTGATGCGGCTGAAGCCCTGCTGGCCCGGCTTGATTGGCACCCACTTCTTACTGGTGTCATCGTACACCATGACTGAGGCGCGGGCTTGGCAGATACTCTGTTCACTGTGGAGGAGGAAGAGGTCAACAACAAAGCCATAGGGTGAATCTAAAAAATAAAAAAATATCATACATTTCACCTGTTCTGGGAATGTTTATTTTTAGGTTGCAGGTAGGTTCCGAGAACGTTTTACTCTGGTTCCTTGAAAGTTTTCCTGGGAGGTTTTATTAATGCTACGAGAATGGAAATTATAGGTTATTTGGAGGTTTTTTAATAGCTTCCTTAAAACTTTCACTGAATGTTTCAATAAGACTTTTAACAACACTGCTAGCTTATTTTGAGTTAACTTTTTTGAACTCCAAGCACAGATAGGATACATGGAAATTCCTTTCCTTAGGCATTAATCATGCAAACATTTATTTTTATTGTGACACAGCATCAGTGAGACTCAAACCTATAATCTTCTGTTCTCTGTCTATGGAATTAGTCCACTGTGCCACCAGGATGGAGCTAACATGCCATGTTTTTTACGCATACAAAGCTGTTCATTTTAGTCTATTCAAACAGACCCAATTTCTAAGGAAACAAGCACTCATTAAGATCAGGTGTGGCCAATTAGTGGGCACGGCCAACACACCTGAACAGGATATAGTTTGGTTGACGCTGAGAACGTAATGTATATGTTTTTAAATAACATTCTTAGAACGTTACAAAAGTTTAGTGGTTTTTATGGAAAGTTTTTTTACCCACTTTTTCTCCCCAATTTCGTGATATCCAATAACAATCTTGTTACATCGCTGTAACTCCACAACGTGCTCGGGAGAGGCAAAGGTCGAGTCATGCGTCCTCCGAAACACAACCCACCTAACCGTGCTTCTTAACACCCGCCTGCACCAATGTGTCGGAGGAAACACAGTTCAACTGATGACCAAAGTCAGCCTGCAGGTGCCCGGCCCACCACAAGGAGTCGCTAGAGCACGATGAGCCAAGTAAAACCTCCCCGGCCCGGACGACACTGGGCCAATTGTGCGCCGGTTGTGACACAGCCTGGGATCGAACCCGGGTCTGTAGTGACGCCTCAAGCACTGCGATGCAGTGCCTTAGACCGCTGTGCCATTCGGGAGGCCTATGGAAAGTTTTCTTAAAGTTCTCGGAACAATTTGAGAACATTACTTTAAATAGAAACCATGAGGAAACCTGTAGGAAAACGTTATGCTGTAGTACTGAAATTCCCAGTAGGAAACGTTATGCTGAAGTACTGATATTCCCACAGGAGAAAGTTTTCTTAACGTTCTCTGAACTATTTGAGAACATTCCCAATGTCAAACCAGTTGGAGAATGTTCCTAGAACATTACCAAAATTGAAATGAAATGTAACCATGTTTGAACTGCTCAGAAACATTCTGTTAAGGTAATGAAATCCCAAATGTGTTATTTTATTTTGGTCAAGTTTCTTAAATGTGGTGAGAATGTTCCAAAGCAACTATCCTGCACGATCCCAGAATGTTGTGGGAAGGTTGTATTCAAAATAACCATGCTCTCACCAAGCTCTAAGAAATGCTTGCAGTGCCAGGGTTGTGGGTTTGATTCCCACAGGGAACCAGTATGAAAAAGTATGCACTCACTACTGTAAGTCGCTCTGGATAGGAGTGTCTGCTAAATGACTAAAATGTAATGGTTCTCAGAACGTTTGGTGCTAGCTGGGATAAGTCAAAATGTTTGGAGACATGGGCGGAAGGGTGTGTGTCGCTGATCTATGATAATAACACAGTGAGCGAAAACCAAAGCGTCTAATTAACTATCTGATCACCAGATGGGAGGAATGTATCTGTTTAAAAGTAAATGAGAGACCAGGAGCGCAAACCAGAGGAATGGTGAATTTGCATCCATAAATAATCATGGTTTTGGTCCAGGCAGAGACTGACTTGATTCCAAACTCTCCATCCCTTTTGACAACAAGAATTAAACAATTGAATTATGTGGTGAACAAGAACATTTCAAAGCACTAATGATAACTCCTTGGAAGTGTTGTCGGAGTCCTGGAAAAAACTTGCATCTCCATGCTTCACTTTCACAATGCATGGAGGGGGTGACTTCTTTCAATCTATGTAAAGATAAATCTACATTGAGAAAAATGTTGATATAACTCAGTGAGCACAAGATGTTGAAAATACATATTTTCAAAGTCTTTTCAACCCAAAATACGTATTTTCAACGTATTTTGCTCATAGGGAAGGTATTTCCAGTACACCGACGAGGGGTAAGATATCTAAGGCAGGGTTTCCCAAAGTCCTTCCTGGGGCCCCCCTGGGGGCACGTTTTGGTTTTTGCCCTAGCACTATACAGCTGTTTCAGATAATCAAAGCTTGATAAATAAATTGGTTATATGAATCAGCTGTGTAGTGTTGGGGCAAAAACCAAAACGTTCACCCGGGGGGGGGCCCAGGACAGACTTTGGGAAACCTTGATCTAAGGGTATGAATAACAACATGGTGTGATATGGTGTGATATTCCTGACAGCATGACAGGGTATTGATGTTTCACACACAGAGCTCTAAGAGGTGAGATTGGCTTGTGCCCTCAGGGGACTGTGAAGTGACAAAAAGTTTACAAATCTTCACCTTGCTTCACCTTAAAGCTAACTGCTTTAAATAATTATGTTACTCAGCTACTTCAGGCGACTCAACATTCTTAGTCTTTATTGTACAGACTGGCAAATTAGCACTGCATTCACAGCTGTCATTTCTAGACACCAATTCTTAAAGGAAATATTTTGCTAAGTGGGTACCTCAACACGGAAAGCAAAAGAAGCCTATTGTGAAGCCTTTTCTATATCCAAAATAAGCCTTTTCAATATTGCAGCTAAATAAAGATTCCACCACAGAGACAGACAATGGGTCGTCTTGACTCTAAAGCCCCTAGGACATCACTAGCATTCAAATACCAGCATGTGGCTTTCCTCTGCAATCTCCTTCCTCCCTAGGAGGTGGAGAACATGGAATGGGTGAGGCAGTATGAGTGCAGGATTCAGAACCTCTTGTACCAAAATCGACTACCATTTTCACACTATTGTGCCACCCCGAACCGAACAGCTCAGATAGTTTATTTCCACATTGTCCTTTCCAGCACGGTTCCAGCAACTATGGCAGATGTGTAATCAGGCCAGCGCAGTACAGCTCGGCTCAGGAGTGTGAAAAGCGTATGACACTTGAGGCCTATGCAGATGTGCACTACAACAATATTAGAGGGTCAGGCTCTGAAAGAATGCCGCAAGACAGGGACCGACAGCTGTCCCTCCTTGATTACTAACCTGACACTGACACATTCTCACCACTCTTCAGTATCAACCATAACACAACCATCAGACAGCCATCACACAACCAGTCACCATCAATATCCTTGCAAGTGCTTTTCAAATTAAATTGAAGCGCGTGTGGTAATCAATCAATTACAGATATTCAAAAAATATAATCATTGCACAGTAAGCCCTTGAGGAGACATTGAACATGCAATCGGATATAGCAAGTTTGGTTTACCCTTTATGTGACATCTCAGCCAGTTAGCGCAGCAGACGACAGTGAGTGCTGTGCTTCATTTGAGGTTTTGAGTGAGGTGTAGTTTGACACAGTAGGTGAAATTGTATCTCAGCAAAGGAAGCAAAGGCTAACGGCTAACAGCTAACAGCTAAAGGCTAACAGCAATAAATGGAGGAGAAGGTGTAAGAGCATCTTCATTTACCACATTCAAAATAGGGAAGTCTTGGGCTCAATTGAGTCAATAACTCAAATCGATATGGAATCAATAAAAGCCATTCAAATAAATCCACAATAAGCAAAACCTTTCAGAAAACCAGCTTATGCCTTTCTGGTATCCTGGCAACCACAGGTAGAGCCCAACATGCTTTAGACTCAACTGTGGGCATAGTTCACCAGTCATGCTACTCAGTCAAGTAGGACTTCAATATCCCGAGTCTACACATTATGAATTTCCTTTCTCAAAGCTTTCAATTAAAAAATACATTACTGGGACTTAGACCGTAAAGATATATTCTATCTGGTTCTAAATTGAGTTGGGCTCAATCTAACCACAAAACAGGCGCTTCTACACAGAGACCACACATGTCCCTGAGGAGATACTCAGCTCTTTAGTGTCTGACAGATCCCCTTACAAAAACAAGCCCTATTTCTGGAGCCATTTGGGGTCGAGGGTTTACATGCCTTCTCTGTGAAGCATTGGTTTCAGTACCCCACCAGGCTAAGTCAGAAATAAAGTATAGCGCCGTCTATTTGTCTGACTGACATTGCTCAATCATCGCATGTGATGCAACTTAAAGTTTAACGGCTCCTCGAATGTCACTGGGGCCGAGCTCCCTGCCATCCAGGACCTCTATACTAGGCGGAAGGCCCAAAAAATTGTCAGACTCCAGCCACCCAAGTCATAGACTGTTCTCTCTAAAACCGCACGGCAAGCGGTACCGGAGCGTCCAAATCTGGGACCACAAGGCTCCAGAACAGCTTCTACCCCCCAAGCCATAAGACTGCTGAACAGTTAATCAAATCGCTACCCAGACTTTTTTTTGCACTGAGTCTCTTGCACTGAGTCTCTTGCACTGGCTCTATGCACACACGCTGCTGCTACATTGACACTCCAATACACACACACACACACACACACACACACACACACACACACACACACACACACGCTGCTGCTACTCTATTTATTATCTATCCTGATTGCCTAGTCACTTTTACCCCTACCTACATGTACATATTACCTCAATCACCTCAACTACCTCGTAACCCCAGCACTGACACACCCGGATCTGTTTCACTTGTCTTTGTGCTTGTCTCCACCCCCCTCCAGGTGTCGCCCATTTTCCCCATTATCCCCAGTGTATTTATACCTGTGTTTTCTGTTTGTCTGTTGCCAGTTCGTCTTGTCTCGTCAAGCCTACCAGCGTGTTTTTCATACTCTGTTTTCCCGGTTTTGATCTTTCTGCCTGCCCTGACCCTGAGCCTGCCTGCCATT